GGAAATTGCACTCAGAAGCTTTCACCTCAAACACTTGATCAAATTAAGTCACTGGGTGACAGTGGTTGAAAGCTGAGAACAGCCTCAAACGTGGAGGTGAGTTGCATGCCCTTTTTGGTCGCCTGGCAATGATTCAAGGGCTGTTGCTGTACAAATCCCATTGTTAAAGTTGCAAACCTCCCAAAATTTCACTGGGAGAGGAAGGATGGGGGGCTTGAGGCACCCCATAGGAAATGCCAACTCTTAGCTTGCTTTCATTCTTTAACTACAGAAAAATATAGCAATCCTATTGCAAAGAATTCAGAAAGACCACAACAGGTCAGAATGTTTTTAGTGCTGCCTGTTTGGAATCTCGGGGCCGGAGAACTGCTCCTCTGGCATGGTTCAGTACCTGCCGACGTGCAGCGGCTTTAAGCCCAGTTTATGGAAATGAGTGTCTCCTCCCTTGCTTGCTCCGAGGGCTTTATGGCTAAGGGCAAGCAAAACTCAGGGCATCCGAACCCCAAGCCTCTGGGCTTGGGCCTGCAAGTAGGATGCCTGCCAAAGGTTTTGGAAACATCAGGATTCCCTAGATGCAGATGGAGGATGTTTGCTGGAAGGGCCACATATGGTTTTGGACTCTTGGAATTGGAATTAGTTTGGGCTAATTTGGCCTCAGATACAAATACAATAAAATAAAATAAAAATCCTGTTAATCTCTGTCCACTTCACAGGTGTTTAATGACCCCCTCTCCTTTTTAATGGTCTTGCTGTTTCACTATTCAAACTATCCTGTCCTGCAATTTGGCTGTCTTTTAGCCCTTCCTGGTAATGCCTCTTCTGTTTCGCAGCCCTGTGGACTGTTTTTAGCTCAGGCTAAAATCCTTAATTCAGGTGTGATCATATTGAATCAGGTGTAAAGATGACTGACGGGAAAGTATTGGAGGCGTCAGGAAGTTCAAGAATGTTAGGGGTTTTTTTGCAGGGTTTTTTTAGGGGTATAGGTAGGTTATAGCCATGTTGGTCTAGGGCATAGGCAGACAACCTAATTTGGGTAAATCTGATATCTTTTATTAGATCAACTCAAATAGTTGGAAAAATTCTTTTTTGCAAGTTTTCTGGTATGAATCGGAATAAGAGATGAACCTTTAATGGTAACGACTACAGCACTAATGATACAATATCCTGTGACTTTTGCCTAGTTTGTTGGGGTGGGTTGTTTTTTTTTTTTTTTTAATTGAGATATACTCTAGCAAACGAGTGCACGTTTCAATAATTATAGACATACTTTTTTGCTTTGATCTTAAACTGGAACTGGAGAAAAATGTATGTTGTGTTATATGGGATGATGTGCCACAAGATCTGCACCCTGCTTTTCCAGATCCTAGATCCACGACTGGTGGGATTTGAGATGGCATCTCTCATGCCACAGAGAATGGGCCCTGCCAGCTGGGACAGCTGATGAAGCAAACTAGAATTGACGTGGACCTGCTTCCCCTCTAGAAAGGCTGTGCTGTGCTCTGGGGGGTCCCCCCATCCCTGGCAGGCCTGGGGTGGCAGTGCCCACTGGAGAAGGGTCCCTTGAGGCAATGGCAGGGTGTGCGGGGGGTCCCAAGAGCCAGGGGAAGCTTCCACAGAGCCCGTGAGCTGCGGGCACTAGTTTTGTAAAGGGGGTGCAGGTGGTGGGGTCCATCGTCATGTCTTAAACAACACACGTTTTTCTCCTGTTTAAAAATAAACTAGAAGTTTTACTAATATGCTTGGGGCCTAGGGCTGTGTTCTTCAGTTGAAGATGGAAGCAAAAACAAATATAACTTCACTGGGTTGAGGTCAAACCAACCTGTAGGGCTGTGAAAGAGCCAGTTGCAGGACACAGGAGAGCAGAAAGGCAGAACAGGGGCGGTGAAACAGCAAGACCAGCGGTTCCCAACGCGGTGCCCACCAAGGTTTATTTGGCATTTTCCCGATCAGTAAAAACCATGCTTCCAACAAAAACATGCTGTCATATCGGCGCTGCTTCTTTTACAGCCGCCTGTGCAGCGGTCCATGAAGGCTAGGGACCCCTGATCGAGACCCCTGCGAAGAAGAGAGGCGTGTTAACACCTGTGGCACGAAGAGCAGGGAAAGCAGCGGGCGATGCCCACGAGCCGCG